CTTTATTTTAAAAAGCCAAGACACCTCCTCCAACTGTCCTGCCCTGTTCTCTTTACTGGCAGGTGGGCTTGTCCTGTCAAGTGCGTTCAGTAGGGACAGTAGGTGAGTTGATGTCATCCCAGAACAAGGCAGCACAATGTGTGGTGCTCAGAGTTGAGGACTGGAGGGACACCTGGTGAGCACAAATGGAGTAGGGGCTAGCAAAGAGGGAGCAGTAAGGGACAGTGATACACCCATCTGGGAAGAGAAGCAGTTAGGGCTTGGGTTACCGTGCTCAGGTGCCTGTCATCCAGGAGGAGTGCCTAGGCAGAGCGTTGCTCCTGGGCATTTCTTGCACCCTGTGGACCCCTTACCCGAGGAGCTTCAGTGGTGGGATGTTTCAGCTCCCTACTCTCATGAAGTCCTTCTCCAGGCCTGGGGAGGGAGGGTCACGGCTCAAGGAAGTTGCCCAAGTGTAGATATTACATCCTGCGCTAGTCAGCTTTCCATCACGGTAATATATACTGGAGGTAATCAACTCATAAAAAGAAAAGGTTTTGGGCTCATAGTTTTAGAGGTTCCTGTGGATGACTGATTGACCCCCTTGCTTTGGGGCCTGTGCCAAGGCAGTGCACCATGGTCTGAGTACACGGCAGAGCCATGATGTTCTCTCATGGCCAGAGAGCGAGAAAGAGAAGAGACAAGAGGCTCACAGTCTCCTAGGAGGACAGGTCCCCAGCGATCTAAAGACCTCCCACTTGGCCCTGCCGTGTGTGTGTGTGTGTGTGTGTGTGTGTGTGTGTGTGTGTGTGTGTGGTGTGTGATCAGAGATGGAACCTAGGACCTCACGCATGCTCGGCAAGTATTCTACCGCTGAGCTATACTTCCAGGCTTGGCTCATCTTTTTAAGTTTCTGCCACCTCCCTCTCTTAGCTGTGGACCAAGCCTTTAGTCATGGCCCATGGGGAATGCTCCAGATCCAAAGCACAGCAGTCCTGGGAGAGCAGTGAGGACAGCAGTTGGGCAGCTTCATGGGGCACAGGTTAGCAGGTGTTGCCCCTCTGACTTCGGGAGTGTCTTTGTTGCTGACGGGTAGCTGGAGCTCAATACTCATTATCATCAAATTGAAGGAGAGGTTTGCTGTGGCTCACATGATTTAGAGGTTTCAGTGCGTAATCATCTGACTCCAAGGCAGAGGCGGCATGGGGAAGGCCGTGCCTCAAGTGAAGGCTGCCCTCAGCATTGCAGCCTGGAAGCAGCCAAGTGAGGACAGGGGCCGGGGAGGAGATGTACATGTCCAGGTCGTGACCCATGTCCTGTGTCTGCCAATCAGACGCCTCTTAACGGGAGGTCACCTACATGACCTCATTCAATTTAATCACCTTCCAAAAGTCCCACTGTGAGTGCCCAAGACTCTTTGGGGACATCTAGATGTAACTTACAAACAGGGAGAAAACGCTCTTCATTACTCCTCAGCCTATAGCCTGGAGGGCGGGGAATGCAATGGCGAGCTAGAATGCAGAATGGTGAATGGACCCTGAGCTGACATAGCTGGAGAGGAGTGACAGGCGAGTCTGCTTCAATGAGTTTAGTTCAGAGCACCCAATAAGAGATTAAGCTACCTAAATTATGGTCCTGTCTTCCCAAGGAGTCTTCCAGGGCGTGGGGGCTGACATCACTGAATGACAGAAGAACCCTGCAGGCTGCTCAGGGACCTATCCTGCTGGGCTGAAACTTCAGAATCGTGAGTCTGTCTCATTTGGCGAGTCTAGGTTTCCCTGAAAGTGAGAAGTGAGGGGTCGGGGACGAGGGATGGCGATTTCTTTTTTCTTTTTTTTTTTAATTTAAATTTTTATTTATTTGTGTGTGTGTGTGTGTGTGTGTGTGTGTGTGTATGTGTGTGTGTGGTGGGGCTGGCTGGCATGTGGTGCTGGGGGATTGAACCGCGGTCCCCTGTGCTTTGCTAAGCTTGTTCTAAGTAGGTGCTTTAGACCACTGAGCCATCTCACCAGCCCCAGGGATGGTGATTTCTGAGGAACTTTTAGAAGGGTGCTTTGAAGATGCCTAAGAAAATGATGTGCACATTGCATATCAGCCCCACATGTTTGCTCTCTGACGCATATCAGTAAAGCCACACCTTCTTGGTGGCCTTAGTATGTGTTATATTTTGGGATTTTGCAAGGGGAACAATACAGAACACATAATTTATAGAATTATTCTATGACGGTCACCCAAAGAGCCATATGTGAAGAGTGTAGGAAATCTGTCCACACACCAAAGACGAAAGAATCCAGCTGAGGGACTGGATCCCACAGTGATGTCCCCTATGAGTCTAGCTGAAGACCAAGAGCTCATAATAATGCCCCCCATGAGTCCAGCTGGAGGCTAGAGTCCAGGACAGTGTCTCATGCAGGCCAGTTTCATGGATCTGCTCTGGAAAAGCCCAAAGGTCAGTGGTAGAAGAAGCTAGAAAGTCTATGCCAGCAGGGTGAAGGGTCTGTGCCAGCAGGCTGGGGGAATCTGAACTGGAGCCAGGAAGTAGTCTTCAAGGTAAGAACCAAAGCTTCCCTGAAAAGTACCACAGCCATCCTCAGTGACAGTGAGGCCTGAGCTCCTTGGACAATGAGAACAGGCACAGTCTCATCACGAAAGCCAGCAGCTTCCCTAAGAGCTTTTCCTCTTCTTCGGTTCTTCTTTTCATTGGCAATAACCCTCAGGTGGGCCACCTACACCCAGCACGGCACTGTTTCAGTTCAGCTGGGTGTAATAAGCTGATTACTAGTTGGATTCGTGGGAGGCATTGTTACAGTCTCTAGGTCTTCAGCTGGATTCATGCAGGACATTACTGTTGGATCCAGGCCCTCATCTGGATTCCTGGTCTTTAGTGTGTGGACAGATTACCTGCCTGCTTTTTGTACATGGCTCTTCAGGTGGCCATTAGAAAATAATTCTATCAATTATGTGTCCTGTATTAAAGAGTTCCCCTTGCAAAACCCCAGCCTGTAGCGAAATTGGTGCAACGGCTTCTCTCCTCCAGTTCTTCTTTTTTGTTTTGTTGGCAGCACTGCTCAGGTGGCCTCCCATGCCCAGCCCCCTACTGCTTCAGTTCAGCTGGGTGCTGCAAGTCCACCCCTACTTGTTAATCTAGTGCAGCCCATGAAGCCCACCTGGCCTGGTGGGCAAGTCCTGAGGCAGCTGGCTGGTGTAGAGTGGCAAATGGGCTGAGCCAGGCTGCAACTGGCTGGGAGGTGCCCAGCTTGCTCTGTGACGGCCCCCAAGGACTGAAGTTCATTCACTCAGCTCTCAGGGGCAGGGAGGGGACAGAGCCCAGCCCCATGTGTATTCATTCAGCCCTGTGCTCTCTGCTGCCAGCAGTGGAGCAATGATCCTGGTCAGTGGATCCTGGTCAGCGGGGTGTGGGTGACAGCAGCTCTGAGTACCAGTCTCAGGCTTTGGCTTTTTCATCTGTGAATGGACACCACAGGTGCCCCTTTCCTCCAGGCAGGATGGGTAGGGGATAGGATGGGCTTGGTTAGCTGGACGGGCGAAAGGGGCTATTGTGTGGGGTGTGTGGAAGTCACACATAACTGTAAGGCAGATATGTGTGTGTTTACTGTCGCCCTCGTTCCCGCAGTGTTTCACTGCAGCTTAACAGTGCCTATGCAGTCTTTTAAGATAAAAATTCTAAGTGGACAAAGTGAAGCAGAGGGAAGCAAAGACAAAAGTAGTAAAACCAGTGGTGTGGTTAGCACTGGAAATACGTGTCATGGCCTTTGTGCTTAACCCACAACCAAGAGAGAAACTGGTTACAAGTTATGAGTTTCTCAGTGTCCAGTGGGTCAGAACAAGTCAGTTCTGAGGAAGCAGGGCCACTTGAGAGAGGAGGAGGCCCCCCACATGCAGACCTTAGGAACCTCGGCTTCACAGACGTGCCGTGCAGGGCTCCTGGGCCGTGTCTCGCATAGCCTGCAATGAGTCTAATACGCAGGGCAGCTGTTGTCCACCCGGGCAGCCTTAGCCAGCTTCCCCATTCCTCCCAGAGAGCAGGAATCTCCTCCCCAGGCAGCAGGTGGTCTGCTCCGCAGTGGATTGGAAGAGCTGGTGCTTCCTCTTCAGAGAAGCCAGGCTGAGTCTAGCTGAGAACCTCTTCCTGCTTCCTCCTGGGCCAGGCTGCAGGGCTGTGAGCAGCTGGCAAGGAAGGTGCGCCCGCCTCGTGAGTGATGCAGGCTGCAGTGAGGCCGGTACCCAGTGCAAACCAGCAGACTGTAGCCCTTTTCTCTGGGTCTCTGGGAGCCTGCTCCCCGGCCTGCTCTAGTCTGCCTCTGCCCAGCTCTGTGTCTGTTGGTTTGCCTGTCATCTTGGCTGCCACTGCCTCCATGACACCTCGAGGTGTTTCCATGTTTCTGTAGCTGCTGTCAGCCCTCTCGAGCTCTTCATTCTCTCATTCGAAATCCTAAGAGTAAAGTCTCGTTGGACCAGTTCATCCTTTTGTTTTGTTTTGTTTTGTTTTATATTAGGGAAGAATCTACAGGGTGTTCAGGGCCTCACTACTAGATTAGTCTCATAGTGATCTGCCTGTTTTTAGCCTCCCAAGAGCTGGGATTACAGGTGCGTGCCACCATGCCCGGTCTCAATTGCCATCTCAGTGTACCCTGGGGGCGAGGCCAGCGTGGCAGGCCCGGGGATCAAACTCCCTGCCCCTGGGCCTACTTGCAGGTGCTTTAATCTGCTGAGCTATTTGATTGGCCTTTCAGTTCATCCTTTTCAGCTAAGCCACAGGGGATGGTGTCAACCTCCAGAAGGGTGTTTTGGGAGACAGTGCTACCCTGATGCCAGGTGGAGACTGTGGGGTCAGATGGCTTACATGTACACTCCTGCCACTGGTGGGCTGTGAGGACTGATGGTGTCCCTTAGCAGCAGTCATAGACATGGCAGACCCTTGACCCAGGCCTGAGGCTTTGCCTGAGTGGTTCTGGTGCTGTTAGCCCTTCTCTAACATGCTTCTGTTTGGGGCATTTCAGGATAGATGTGGATTCCCAGTTGACCCCCTGGCTGTGCTCCCCCTAGTCCACAAAATGGGATTGTGAAGCAGACACTCCTGCAGAATTTTCACACTAGATGATGGATGACGACAGGCTCTCGGACCTCCAGCCTATGGAATTTCATAATGCCTGCTTGGGAGCCAGTCCACAGCATCACCCTGGAGCATACCTGAGGGAGCCCGGCCACAGCTCAGGCAAGGAACACAACTGGACCTTTGAGCCTCCTGAACCCTCCAGGCCTGACACTCCTCCCAGGGGCTCTGGTCAGGAGCCTGCTCACTTGGGGAGCTGCTCTTCCCAGGGGGACCTCAGGCCGGCAGCAGCTTGGCCAGAGGCACAGGGGAATCGCTGTTCCCCGGGGAGCCCATCGCAGAACCAGGGCTCATCCACGCAGGTGGTGTTCTGGGCCGGCATCCTGCAGGCCCAGATGTGCGTCCTGGACTTAGAGGAAGAGCTGGAGAAGACAGAAGGACTCAGGAGCAGGCTGAGGTGCTGCCTGCCCACATCTACTGCAGACCTCCCTGGTGACACAGGCTTGCGCCCCAGCACCACCCAGGAGGAGGAGGAGGAGGACTGTGGGGAAGACAGCAGTGGGCCCAAGGGGGAGAACCACGCCTGGCCCAGGGAAGACTCGCCAGGCTCCTCCCCGGAGTGGGGTCCCGAGGAGGAGAGCCTATTCTTCGACAACCCCCTCTTCCTGGAGAGCCCTTGCTCGGACACCAGCGTTTCCAGGGAGTACTTTTCCTGGGGCTTCCCCAACTCCCAGGCAGACACAAGGCCTGGGCCTGACTGGTCACTTCCAGGCAACAGCAGGCTCTGGGAGCCAGAAAGTGAACTGGATTTGGGGGACAGCACCGCTGGTTCCAGTGGCTGCGCTACCCCTCCATTCCCTGTGCCTCCCTACAAATCACACCCCTTCTGCTGGGCATTGCTGGCCCCTGCCGAAGACAGTCAGGTACCACCTCCTGCTGAGGAAGAAGACAAGGTAAGCCGAGGTCTAGAAGGCCACCAGGGTGGTGCTGGGGACACCGAAGGAGGGCCACGAGGCCTAGAGCAGCCTGTAATATGGGGCCTTTAGAAATCTGAGTAACATAAAAAGAAATCACCAGTACAGCCTTTAGAATTATGGGAAATTTTATTGGTGCCCCGATGTGCCCTGAACGCGGCAAGTCTGCAGCTCACCAGCTCTTGGGGTGAGGCCTGGATACACTTGGAGAACAAACAGTTCCTCCTGTTGCAAGATGTTCCCAGCCATTCTCGGATCCTTCCCCGCCCACCTCCAAGACACTGCGGACTGTGACAGGCAGGGTCAGCCTAGCTGACCTCTCTGCCTAACAGAGAGCTGTGTTAGAAATGCTGTCCTCTGTTTTCTTGAGAGATTTCAGCATTTTGTTACTTTTAGCTCACCATCCTTCATTCTGTCCCTGCCTCATGCAAACAGTTCAGGTCCCTCCCGGGGCTTCCCCAACCCCAGGAGAGCCTGGGTATCAGCCAGGCATGGGATGAGTTAGTGAGACAGTCAGGAGCCCAGTTTTCTCAGGGAGGCCTCGCTGTAGAGATAAGGCCCTCACTCGAGGCAGCAGCGTGAGGCTGCGACTTTCTAACCTTTCTATTCCGGGAGAGCGGTGGAGATCTGAGTCACTTTCCAGTACTGCCTGCTCAGGCCAGCGCCCCAAACTCTCTCCGGACCTTGCTCTGAGACGCTGGGTCCTCAAAGGGAAGCCTGGGAGCCCCATTGTTGAAGCTGGGAATTCTCTCCCATTCTGGGTGCAGAGCCCGCCCCACCCAGTGCCTGGAGCCATGGCCCTGGCTCCCAGAGTCCCTTGGGGGGAAGGGGCTGCCTGACCACCTGGATAGCCCACAAGGGGGCGATCTGCAGAGGTGAGTAAAACATCTATTTTCCTCTGGTCAGACTTCACTGTCCTCCCCACTGCCCTCTTTCCCAGGCTCCTCTGGAAGATGAGTGTGGCCCCGCATCCCTTGCAGGACTCCGTGGGGACAAAACATGGGCCAAGGAGACAGTGCGCCTGGAGTCGGACCGCAGCCCTGCCACACATCCTGCGCCGCCGTGGGCAAGTCACTTAAGTCACTTCCCTCTCTGGGCCTTGCTCTCACCAGTGGTTTCTGGGGCCCGGTGTCAACACTCCCAGGATGTGGGCCTTGTCCCATCCAGGGTTCTGCTACTGCACTGACGATGAGACTGGCACCCGTGCTCTGGGTGGGAGGTTGGCCAGGAGGCTGGAGCTTCTGCGTACCTGGGCTTCCCGCCCTCCCCTTCTTCTCTCCTTCCCTACTCACCTCTCTGCCTCTCTCACCAGGTCCTCACAAGCGCTGAGGGCTGGCAGACAGAAGAGACTCCTTCCTGGTCCCCAGACAGAGGTGAGACCCGTGAGGAAGGTCTAAAGAACTGGGTGATGGGAGGCCTTGGGATTTGGAGTGGAGACAAAGTGTTTCTTAGATTTGTTTTATTGCACTACAGCGGGCAGAGCTGGTGGTTAAATCTGGCCTTTATTTCTGTGCCTTCATCAATAAAATGGGTTTTCAAATACTTGTGGAGTGAGTGAAGGAATGTATGAAAGACCTAGCATTTCTCCTGTGCTCCTCAAGGGCCGAGCCCTTCCTTTCCTGGGGCAAAGGAGCATGCACTGCCTTGGGGGAGGCCAGGGCTTGCTGCCCCTTGCCGGGGGAGGCACCTGGGGAGGCAGGGGCAGCAGCCAGCTCCTCTGTGCCTGCTCACTCTGTTTCTCCTCAGGTGAGAGGGATGACGGGCGGCCCCAGGAAGCTGCTCCCCGCACCTTGGCTCCCAGCCCCTGTGGGAGCCCAGCGTCCTCGCCTGGCAGCCCTGTGTCTGAGGGCAGAGGCCCTGGCCCCAGGCCCACCACTGTGTCCTCCCAGGAGGGCAGCCCGCAGCCCCAGCGCCACAGCCCTGGCATTGTCCCCAAGTGGCCGCTAGACGCTTCCCACCCTTCACTCCTGGAAACTGATGGGCTACATCCAACTTCCCTGAAGAAAGACGAGGCTGGGGAGGCCCCAGACGCAGGGCAGGAAGTAGAGTGTGAAGGCCCTGCTGGGACTACAGGGGCTGCAGGCGCCCAGCCCGACGTCCACTGGACTTGTGCAGAAGGGTGAGTCTTGGCTTCAGCGGATTCCAGCTCCTGATAATGGCTGCATGTCCAGACCTCGTTTGGATGGAGCCTGGGGAAATGCACCTCTAACATATTATACTTCATGGTAGTCTTCATGACCTTATTACATGGACTATGTAGGATTGTATAACCGGGCACTGGTCAAGTTCTGATGAAGGTTTAAAAGCACAAGAAGCTAAAGAACAGACACGCATGTATGTGGAAGCAGGATTTGCGTATGCAGATGAGGCCAGGGGAAGTGTCCAGAGCTGGACCCCAGAAGGGAAAAGGAGAAGGTGTTCAAGGAACCTGACCAGGGTTGTGGCAGACAGGCTGTGGGGTAGAAGGTCAGAGCTTGCACTGTGGGGATTAGAGACTGCTTGCATCTGAGTAAGGGTTGAGGAGAAATTCACTCAGGAGCCCAGGCTGGGGTACTCGTTCAGATCTTACCAAGAGGAGGGTTAATTGGCACTGAGAGAATGGATCTTGGTGCCCACAGCAGGACTGGTTAACCTCAGAACTGTGGCCAGGGCTAGGGCTAGGCCTACTGGGAAACCAGCAAGGATGCCTGCCTGCCCCAGGATACGGCCTCAACGTGCTCGGCTCCTGGAAAGTGCACGTGGAAGCGGGTTCGGTCCCTGACTAGCTGAGTGGAGGTCATACTGAGGAGACAAGACGCTGTTGTGATTCAGGCCATTGACAGTGCTGAAGGCTCTGAATCACCCTGCTCCTGTCTCCAGTTGGGTGATGGTGACAGGCGTCAGTCAGTGCCAGAGCCACAGAAGCATTTTTTCTTGTGTCTCTGGAAAAGATGCTGTGTGAAGCTGTTCAGAGGCTGGGTACCAAAAAAGGCTTAGTACCTGGAAAGGGAAGGTTTAATCATCCAAAAGAAGTCAGGGTGTCCACCGAAAGTGACAACTATACCTTTCATTGTAAATTAAGCAAAAAGGTTTGATCCAGACTTTCTCTTGATGAATGTCACTAAATGTTATATGAAGGAGTTTTGTTTAGTCTTGTATATAGCACAAGGTAGCAAGATTAATTTTCCTGACACAAGTTGGCTAGCCTCTTTCACCTGTGATGACTTTCACAGTGAGATTTACAGAGACCATCTTAGAAGTACAGAGGTTCACTGAGCTGCAGTTCACATGCCCTACAGTTAATCCACGTGAAGTGTACAAATCCATGACTTTGTTTTGTTTTGACCTTTTTTTGTTTTTAAATGTATTTGGTTGTTACAGGGTCTCACTACGCAGCCTGGACCCGTGGTGATCCTCCTGCTTTCAGCCTCCCCAGCACTGGGAATATAGGCGTGTGCCACCATGCCCTGGACTCTGGCTGGCTCAGCCTGCCCTGGGGGTGGGGCTGGGGTGGCATTGGGGGATGGCACTGGTCCCTGGGCTTGCCTAAGCTTGCCTAAGCAGGCACGTTAGTCTGCTGAGCTATCTCACCGACCCTGTTTTTATCTTTTTGAGACAGTTTCACCATGTGGTTGAGGCTGGGCTTGAACTTGAAGCGATCTGTCTGCTTCAGCCTCCCAAGTGCTGGGATTACAGGCGTATGCCACCATGCCCTAGCTAACAATTTGTATTTTTTGTTTGTTTTGCCTTTTCTGAGACAGGTCCTTGCTATGCAGCTCAAGCTTGACTTGAGCATATTTTGTAGCCCAGGTTACAATTCACAGGCTGGTCTCAAACTCACAAAGATCCTCCTGCCTCAGCCCCCCAAGTATTGGGATTATAGACAGGATAATCCATGCTTGGCCAACAATTTGTATGTGTGTAGTGTTTCTTTCTCCCCTAAAGTTCTTCACCATCTAGATACTATTTTGCTGATATTCTTTACATATATATATATATATATATATATATATATATATTTATGTATATATATGTATATGTATGCCTTTGTCAATAGATTATTCAAATGATTCTCTTGATGTGACAGTCACATCTTCATTTTTCTTGCCTCTTCAGTTGTCTGCTGGACTAACTCTTGCAGTACTTTATTGATCAGTGGTTTTCCACATAATTCCTGGCGCTTTCAACAACAGTTTTTCAGGCTGCATGAAATCCTGTGTGATTTCACTGTTCAGTTTCTTCCCAAATCTCCTATGTGCTGGGATGTGCAGGAGCCTCAGAAAGAGGAGAAATTCTGAGCAGAGACTGACCCCCTCGTGTTGAGTGCGGAGGCTGCTGAGTAAAGTCCACTGGGTGGTCAGCTTGTTGACAACTGTTTTTGGGTTTGCCTCCCTGCGTGCACAGCCCTCATCTGTGCTGACTTGGGTCATGAATATGTAAATGACCTGGCTGTAATACTGTGAGCGAAGTAGCATAGTGAGTTGAAAATGGGCTGCATAACTCTTGGGAGTTGAGGATTAGCTTCTGAGCATACTCGGGTTTGGATTCTAGGGGTTACCTGAACCTGTTTACACCATCGTAGGTCACCAGCCAGCCACCATATCATTGGTAGGGGCAGGGGGACATTGCAGCCCCCATCCCCAGCTCTGCTAGTGGTCGCCATTCTGAAAGCCAGGCTGGTTCCCCACTCTTGGCTTTGTGCTTGTACCTTTCTTGGCTCCAGAGCTAGGGGCAGAGGCTGAGCCTGGGGTTGGGCTGGGCAGAGGGATAGAGGTCCTGTGACAACAGCCTCAGGCAAGGCAAACAGTCCTGTCCTACTGTGGGTTGGGTACAACTGCACTGGGGTCCTGAAGAGCTACAGCTGTCCTTGGAGGAGAGATGGCTTGGAAGACCTATGAAGTTCACTTGAGGATGTACCAGTCATTAAGCTTGCTCTGGTCCTTGTGATTTTACCTGGATATCTCCTCTTGGAGTTCTCTAGTTCTGGCCTAGGCCAGGCCAGCGGGGCCAGCTGTGACCGTGTCTCTGCCTGAGCGAGGG